CTATACTCACGCCTCCAATTAAATGCTTTCTTAATAAGGGCCTTGGTCATAGTGCAATAGAACAGTGAATAAACTCAATGTGGAAAGAATAACCATTTTAACACTGATTCTAGAAAATATTAAAAACACCTAAGGGGGGGATGAATCTTGACCTTAGCCTGCCCTTTACAAACAAACAACAATGACAACAAAAACCTGATACTAAACGAACCTAAATGTAAGAGCTATAATTATGAAGCTTTTGAGTTTACTTATGTGCATTTTGTGTACATGGGTGTTTTGCCAGTATGTATGTTTATGTAGCATATGCTTACAGCGCCTGCAGAGGCCACAAGAGGGCATCAGATCACCTGATAACCAAGGTTGTGAGTGAGCTGCCATGTAGATGCTGGGAACTGAACCAGGGTCCTCTGAAAGAGCAGTTAGTGCTCTTAATTATTGAGCCATCTTTCTAGCCCCATATGTTTTTTAAAACAACATAAATGTCAGATAACACAAGTTGGAATTTCTTAGCATAAATCAGCAAAAGCTACCTGGTTGGTTAGTCAGTTAATCTCTTACACACATTTAAGACTAAACTTCTTAGTTTTTGATTGTTGAGGTACAGGCTTGTTTTTAAACCCTGGCTGTCCTGGAACTCATAACTATGCAGACCTGGCTGTCCTGGCACTAACTATGAATGATCTCAAACTTCAAGTGACTATCCTACTCTGCCTCCCTGGCCCTGGAGTTAGTGTGTCACCACACCTGGCATTTAAAAATACCAAACTTCTGAGAATACCTAACATCATACTGCCAAACTAACTGGATGAGGGCACCTGGTGTTGCTAAGAAACAAGAGATGCTACAGTAAGCTATGTCATTTGGGACAAATGTAGCAGGCATGGCTACTGCCATAGGGACTTGTGAGCTTTTTCCCCTCGGATCTCCAGATGCTAAACAGAAGCAGGTGTCTGATTGGCAGGGCCTAAATAAGTCAGATGCTACTCATGAAAGACAAGCTTGAGTTTTAGCTTGCACCTTTATGAGAAGGGGCTCATAGAGGCCAGCCTCTCTTCATGAGATACTAAGTAACCACTAACACAACTAGCATTCACTAAAAGCACCAAGAATGGAGTGTTACCATGAAAGAACATTTCAGAAAATCTTTGTGTACACTCTCTTTAGCTGAGACGAACATGATTCAAAACTGAACCACTAACATGTTCTCATTTCACATATTCATTTTTTTAAGGTGCTTATGTTGTAACAGAGAATAGAAACACAAACCCAAGCACCACCATACAGGGCTAGGACAGAGTGCCATGGCAGAGCAGAACATCAGAAACAAGACCCCAACACTACAAAGAAATAAACCAAGTATAACTATACAACAGAAGGCAATCCACCACAGCTTAATAATCAGGTAACAACAAAGGGCACTTCATATTTAGAAATCAGAAACAGAAATGGAAGTCACTTCATAATGTAATTACTGAATATCCTTTCCCCAGACTCCAGAAACCATTGGAAATGAACACACTAACATATAATAATGCAGTCTGTATGTCTACCCCTCCCCCCCACACACACAGGGTTTCTCTGTGTAACAACTCTAGCTGTCCTAGAACTCACAGAGATCAGCCTGCCTCTGCCTATGTATGTGTTGGGATTAGAGACCTGTACTACCATACCAGACTGTTCACCTGTCTACTCCTAAACCCACCAATTATGACCTGGAGTCAATCATCTGGTATATATTCGTGGCTGAAGCCATTCTCTCAGGACTGTGGAGTCACATCTCAATAACCCTAACACCAACTACATTCGTGACGTCACAGGCAGTAGTCTTTTTCATGGGGAGAATTAAGATGTGTGGAATTGTGATGGGAGATGTCATTCTGTATATGTTTCTCATACTGGTTAATGAATAAATCACTGTTGGCCAATAGGAAAGGAAGATAGGAGGGACTAGGAGACAAGGAGGAAGGAGGAAGTAGTAAGGAGAGTCAAGATGGAGAGTCTGGAGAAAGCAGTAAGCCGGCCGGCTCCCCGGTAAGAGAAATACATAGATCAGCAGAAATGGGTTAATAATTAAGACAGAGCTAGCCGATAAGAAACTAGTAATGGGCCAACAGATTATATCAAATACAGAGTCTCGGTGTGTGTTATTTGGGGCTGGCGCGGCGACGGGACAAGACCGGCGGCGGGTGGAGAAAACCGTACTTCTTACAGAATTGGGTGGAAAGTAACATCCCAGAGGACATCCTAGTGAGTGGGTTCTGTCCTGACCCTCACCCAGTTCTCAGGATTTTCACAGAGCATTAAGTTCACTAGCCTCTCCAGAAGCAAACTCACCCTTACAATCCCTCTGTTGCACTGCATGTGCAGCATGAAAGGGAATGAGTCACCACTCCATTCCCCACTTTCTCCTTATTCTCTCCAAAGCCAATAGGTTGAGTGATGTCATCACTTAAACTTTCTCTTGTGCAAAGGAGATCTTGCTTGTTTTCATCTGGACAGCTTCCAATCAGCTGAGGGAAAAATCTTTGGTCTGATAAGAATCTGTATCAGGAAAAGCTACACTAACTAGAGTAATATGTGAGATCTGCCTTTAGCAATGTCTCCCGTCTGTGTCACACTGCTCTGCCCCTGGCTTGTACAGTGGATCTCTCTGAGCTTGTGGCTCATCTGAGAAACATGCACCATTCTTACATGAATATATTTTATTTCAACTCTTCTTTTCAGGATTCTTGCTTTTAATTATGTGTACCTGGGAGGCAGGAGGAGATACATGTGCAAATTCCCTGGAGTCACAGGCAGTTGTGAGGTGTAGTGTGAGTGCTGAGAACTGAACTCCAGTTCCCTGAAAAGCAGTGTGGCCTCTTAAAGGCCTAGTTGTCCCTACAGCCCCAGCAATCTTCCTAAAGTTATAAATCCTATTTTATTATTATCGTGCACATATGTGCACATGTGCATGTATGTGAATGCAGGCACAGGGGCACCACAGGTAGAAGACAACTTGCAGGAGTCAGTTCTCTTCATCCACAGTGGGTCCCAAGGGTCTCAGGTAGTCAGGCTTGCACAACAAGCCCTTTTACCTGGTAAACCGTTTCACTGGCCCACAACTGCATACTTTTTGGAGGTAACTCTAGATACCTCTTTTTTTTTTCCATGTCCCATTCCTGATCCCTGTCCTACATTAGCATGGAACAAAATCAGTGATAGAAAGTACCTTTGAGAAGGAAATTATTATACAATGTTAAAGAATAAAATTTTATTGTAACTTTATATTTTAGAGGCAAAATGATGTATAGCTTGATACGATGAAAAACAAAACAAAAACAAACAAACAAAAACAAATCACAAGCTTAGCTGTGACATGGTTTTGTTTGTTTTATATCAAAAGAAAATAAAGGCTTTCTTTAAGAATCTAAGAACGAGGGGGTTGGGGATTTAGCTCAGTGGTAGAGCGCTTGGGTTCGGTCCTCAGCTGGGGGGGGGGGAGAATCTAAGATCGATGCCTGGTGTGGTGGTACACACCTTTAGGCCCAGCACTCAGGAGGCAGAAGCAGGTGGATTTCTGTGAATTCAAGACCAGACAGGTATACAAAGCACAGAGAAACCCTGTCTCTGGGGGGAAAAAAAGAATCTAAGAATGGGCCAGGGGTGTGGCTCCATTAGTAAAGTGATGGCACTGAATAAACCAGCTGTGACGGTGAACAGTAATTCTAGGCCTTGGGAAGTTGAGGAACGTGGATCAAAAGTAGAAAGTTATCCTTGGCTACACAGGGTTCCAGGACAACCTGGACTTCATGAGACTCTGCTGTAAAAGTCCCTAAAGGTTCAACCAGCATGTTCAGGGCACGGAGCTGCAAAGGGACTGGAGTGGACTTGAGGGTAGATCGTTAAGACTAACTAGTCCAGTCCTCCACAGGTTATACCCTGGCTACAGTTAGGCCAGAAACATACATCAGCTGTAAAAATCTTTCAGTACACCGAGGCAAAGACTTCACATTAACACATTAACATTATCCATAAGTTCCTTATGGATAACTATCTGCCCTTGCCTCTCTCATCCACGTCTCAACTCAAAGGCGTACCTCTTCAGCATCTAATAAACGCTTTGGCACGACGCGGTCGGTCATTTAGTATTTGCAACCATGCTGACAATTCTGACCTACTACTGTGCAGACAAGGGGAGGCTAGATGACAAAGCCGCTTTCCACAATCACATCAGCAGAATTGGGATTTAACTCCTAACCCCAAAGTTTCTTCTCTTGGCTGCCTGTACAAGAAAAGCTAACTCTCGGAACTTATAGGCAGAGAACGAGGGCATCCAGCCGTGCTTCTCAGATGTTCTCAGCCTTATGGAGCCCGTTTTAGGAGTCGCAGTTAGCGGTCACAAGAAACGGATCGCTGTATGATGCTCACGAAATCTGTTGGCTGTCTCGATGAAAACCTCATCTCCATTGAATCTCAAGATTTATTACTTTTACAAATGATCTCGTTTACTGTTTGGGAAATAGGGAGACTGTGCCACCAAGTGGCCAAAAGCGTCCTGGCCAGCACGGGTTTCTGGTACAGCCAGCCCTGCAAGGCCAATCCAGCCGCCCTCCAGGCTAGCAGCCGCGCTAGGAGCCGCGCACATCGGAGCATGCGCCTTCGCGGCCTCTCCGGCTGCCGCCACAGGGTGGCGCCACTTCCCATTTCCCCGGACGTTTTGCCCGCTCCTTCCCGATACCTTTGTCCAGCTCCATTAGAGCGGAGTTGGCGTCCAGCTCCTGTTCGCCATAGCCGGCATCGGCCAGGAAAGACTTGGTTGAGTTCGACGCCATGGCCGTGACAGCTACCCGACTCGCCTAGTCACAAAGCTCGCAAACCCTCCCTGAGCACCGCCATCTTCCCCGCCGCGCGGTTTCGAGTGTTTTTCCCTCCGCGCGCTGTCAGGCGCTGCACGCATGCGCTCCGGCCGCCCCGCGGTTCGCCGGCGCCTCTGCGGGCCCCCCCCACCGCGCAGGCGCTCAGGGAGCTCCCGGACCCTGGGTTTCCCGCGGCCGGGCGCGGAGGGGGCGGAGCTTCGGAGGGGAAGCTCCTCCCAGGCGCCAGGGCGCGGCGGCTAGAGCCAATCAGCGCGCGTGACGTCAGTTTGGCGCGGAGTTTGGCGGCCGGGGCTTACAGTGGCGGGAGTTGGGAGGCGAGAGCGGTGGCGTTGTTGGAGAGTGCGAGCTGCGGCTCGTGTGGCACTTTGGGGGCGATCTTCTCGGCGTTTCCTTCAGCGGAAGCCTTCTCCTCGGGCCCAGATGCTCTTCAACTCGGTGCTCCGCCAGCCCCAGCTCGGCGTCCTGAGGAACGGTGAGTAACGGTCCTAACGGCCGCTCGTCGCGGCGGGAACCACCTCCCCCAGGCGCTCTGCGCCTTGGATGGCTGCCGACTCTGGGCCTGGAGGTCTCCCGCGGCAACACAGAACCCGGGAGAGCGAGCAGCGCCGAAGAGAATGGTGCTTTGGTTCCCCCTCTCCCCCTCCGCCTCCCCCGTCCCCCTCGGGCACTTCCCACCGCAGTCGAGCTTTTTAAAATCGGAACGGAGCCCGAAGTTAGGACGGGGGGTTAGCTGGCCTCCCGAGCCCCTGGCGGGCTGCTTACGTCAATATCGCGCGTTAACTAGAGAAAGCATGCATGCGGGGGTGGGGGGGGTAGGGGTGGGGGTAGGGGACGCGCGCTGGGACCCGTGTCCCGGCGGCTCCTGCAGAGCCTCCGCCAGCCCTGCAAGTTTGATGTCACGCACCAGCGCGCACGGCCTGCGGTTGAGGAACCCAGTCGGGCGGAGAAGACGCGCCGACGTCTGCTTTTCCAGCCCCGAAGCCCCCCACCCCTCCCCCCACCTCCACGGGGTTAGGGTTAGTTCTCAAGTACAGACTAAAAGATGCTTATAGCCACACCCGCGAGGTGACCACCGGTGATAAATGGATGGAAGGGCATTGTTCCAGATATGGTTTTTGATGCCCGAGTCATATCCAGAGATGGGATTGATTTCCCTCCCCCCCCTTCTTCACGGTGCAATTCGGCCATATTCTCTTGTTAGCGTCTACAAAGTCAGCTCGTTCCTGCAGTTCTTAAGGCAGTCGTACAGAACATTAGCAATCAGAGACGCTATTGGCTGTATGTGTCGTTAAATGGAAGAGTAGGCCTGCTCCCGTCTAAAAACTTTGTATTCGTACTTCTTCCTTGGACAACTCTGTCTCTTTCATACTAGAACTTTGCACAAGTAACTTCTTCCCGTGTTGGGAATGGCCGTCCAGCACAATGGTTGTGAGCCCTGTTTAGAGCCAGCCAGCGAGCGAGCGAGCGAGCGCCTGAGTTTCGATTCCACCTCCTTTTTATGTAGTCAAGGCAGGCTGTTCAGACTTTCTGTGTTTGACATTTTGTCTGTTCACCTATCAGCCTCTCCTGTTTGCAGATAATCGTTCAGTGATAGGCACTGGAATTCGTTTATTGTTACCTCCTGAAATCAGTGCTTCCCCTGCAGTATTGCAGCTTACCCCTGTAACTAGGAATCCTAATGCTGCTGCCTGCACTCTTCCATTTCCTGTATTTTAGATTAGCTTCTGAAAAAGCATTCTGGGTTGGTTTTCACACAGCCAGACATCCAAGCATCTAAAGTTCTAATGCCCCAAACTGAGTTGGCTTTCCCCCCAAACTGGTATCCCCAGCCAAAGCCTTGAGAGTCTCTCAAAGACTCATTTCCATGTTCAAAGAGTTCCCTTAGTTGCTTACAACCACCTCCTTTTCTTCCCCACCTGCTGAGTCTGTTCCCTTTCCACCATTCCATTGCCCTAGATTGGACCCAAGATGTGCTTTAGAAATATGATTACTCTTCTGTGGATTTTAAATCAGAATCTAAAGGTGTTTAGTATACTCTTAAACAGGAAAAAATGTAATTTCTAGCCTTATTGTGAATGTTAGCGTCTTGAGATTTAAAATGCTCCTAACCTTTAACTACACGTGACAATACAAACACTATAGCAACTTGGTAGTTGTGGTCTCTGTTAAATGTAAACAGACTTTTAACTACATGGTTGCATTTTCTTCTAAATTTACTTCTATCTTATTTCCCCCCAAATTTATCCTATTGTAATTTAATGTGTCCTTGAAAAGTTCTTACCACCAAGCCCCCACCAAGAAAAGTGTAAAGTGCTGTTAACTGATTTTAATGCCCGAGACTCCTGAAAATCCTCTTTGGGATGAATTATCACCATAGATAGATATGAATAGTGAGCAGTTGTTAGAAGCTAAATAATGTTTTATAATGCTTTAGGCAAAAAGCACAATATTGAAAAATGCATCTTTTAAAGAAATGGTATCTGGTGCTTTGTGATCTCAACAGGCTCATAATTAAGGGCACCAATTTTTATTTAAAATATGTAATGGACCACTATAAATTTATTTTTTGACAATGCAAGGAGTAAGATGCAGATGTGAGAATACCTTCCTTTTATAAAAGTAGAAAAAAGGAAGTGTCGAAGGTGGTAAGAAAGGGAGTTCCTCTGCCCTGTCAGACAGCAATTTGGGAAGTAATGCCATGTGGAAGTTGTAGAATGTCAAGGTGCTGATCCTCTGAAAACAAACAAACAAAAAAGCCATTTCTTGTGAGTATGGATTGTTAGCATTCTATTGAGTAAAGAATGGGCTTTTTCCAGATGAGTGAGTGTTGGGGGCTGGGAAATACTACAGGATCATATTTATAGCACAGTAAAGATCCAAAAGTGTGTTGTGGGGGGCTGCAGAAATCTGGAGTAAGCTCAGGAGATCACTTTAAACACTGTATCAGTTTGAATATTAGCTGCAGGTAAAGAGACAGAATTGAGCTTAATTGTGAAATTCACCAGAGCTTGTTTTATCTTCAGTTTTACTTACTTGATTTCCCTTTGACTTGTGTGTTGTAGTCACTAAGCTTTTAAATCCCACACCACACATGTACATTTACACTTCTTTAGATGCACCTTTTGTTTTCCAGTTTATTCATTTAGGTGGACATTTGTGAACCTACCATTCTTTTAGTGGTCTTTCGCAGATTATTTACTATATTTGGAATTAAAATTATGGAGCATTGTCCCCATGAATAGTTTAGCTTAAGTTCCTTTTCTTCTTTCTGCTCATTCCTTCTCAGACTAGATTTGGCTGAGGTTCTGCTGGGCTAACATGTCAGAGAGGTTCCTTTCTCATTGCTCTTATCACTTCTACTCTGCAGAAGGAAGCATTCCTGTCCCCTTCTTAGACCTCCCATGTCTCAAGATTTACAGACATTAAATAAACAAAAATGGGAGAATTGGCAGTGCCCTAAGATGTGAGTTTAACATTTGCAGTGCTCAACTTGTCGGCTCATTGCTTCATCAGATCCTTAGTCATAATTACTTGTTGATGAATGCTTCTTACTGAGGTTGAGCGTGTTAATCTAAAAATCTGAAGAGTGGTGGGCACACCTACCTTTACTCTCAACTGCACTGAAAGCAGGACTGGACCCACTCATTGCTACAGGGGTGAATTAGCAGGGGAGAGCTGGGGGTCAGATGAGCCCTGCAGCTGGCTGCCCAGACCTATGATTTGGGCTTTGCCAACATACACTGAATCTATGACCTGTTGAAGCGTGTGAAGGGACCTGATCTGCAGACCCAAAGCCGCAGGGTATCCACAACACAGGGCGAGAACAGGACATCCAGGAGGAGTCCTAGGGAGGGCCCAGTATCAATAGTGTAGTGAAACTAGACCAATGACTCTGCAACAAACACTTTTAAGTAAAGGTATATGGATAAAGGGATTTACAGTGTCACTCACTGTGTCCCACTGCAACTTCCCTGAGTTTCTTTTTTCTCTTAAATTTTGTTTTATTTGGGGGGGGTCGCTGCAGGGGCAAAGGATGGGTATGAAGGGACAGGGAGATGAATAGAATCAAGGTGTGTGAGGTGAATAAATAAAAAGAAAGTTTAAAAAGTTAATAAACTAGTCATAGAACAAAAAATAAAGAATATTCGACCTTTGTGTATTTAAAATGAGCCAACCTACATGTTAATATAGACCAAATTGTGGATGGTGACTTACTGCTTAGGACCATGTACATTAGGAACTTCCTTTATTTTTGATGAAATGAAAATTTACTTTTAAGTCGTTCTCTGAAGCCTCCCTGACCTTACTCTTGGGGGCAGGTAAGTGCCACTTTTAAGTCATTGTCATATATGTTAAGATACTATTAATGGGTTCCTATTAGAATTGTAGGAATTTCAGCACTCTTAGGGAAAAGAAAGTTAAATTGTTAGTCAATATGATACTAACTACAATAGGCAGGTTGATATAGTAACCCTTTGAATGCTGATTGTATATAATGATTGTAATTTACTTGAGTTTTTTATTAGAAACTCCCAAACTGAACTTGTCATGGAAGGAACAATTTAATTGGTAATGCGTTAGTAGCTGTTTCTTTGCTAGAAGAGTCGGATCTCTTTAATGTACAAGGTGCTATTCATAATACACTAGTTTTTTTCTACATTTAAGATGATAAAACCCAAGGTGGGTGTGGTGGCACATGCACTTGGGAGTTAGAGACTGATGGATCTATATGAGTTCAAGGCCAACCTGGACTACATAATGAGTTCAGTGACATCCAGAGCTCTAAATAGTGAGGCTCTGTTTCAAAAATCAAGTGTGTGTGTGTGTGTGTGTGTGTGTGTGTGATAACCCAGTGGCTTCAACAGATGTTGTTGGGAGTGTGCTTTGATTTCTTCCTAAGAACAGCCTAAGAAAGTATCACAAATGGTATTCTGGAGAACTATAGTAGTGAGTTAAATATGTAAAGTTCTATATAAACAAATATTTAACCAGGTATGGTAGCTCTCACCAATTGTCCCCATCACTTGGGAGGCAGAAACAGGATCGTTTGCAACTTCTGTGACTCAAAACAAGCAACAAAGATACTTATCTCCAGTTTTGTGGGAAATGCAAAAATGTTTATACTTTAATTCTCAAAGGAATTATCTTGTTCTAGGGTGGTCTTCACATTACCCTCTACAATCCCTTCTAAGTGGTTATCAGTGCAACTGTAATGATGAGCACACATCTTACGGAGAAACAGGAGTCCCTGTTCCTCCTTTTGGATGCACTTTCTGTACAGGTAAGAGAATGACTACACCAGGCTTGAACAGAACTTTATTTCCTACTAAAAGGGAAAATACACTTTGAAAAAAAAGTAACATAGGTAGAAGTTAAAATTATTCTAATTGTTCTCCTGTGAGTTTTAAGGTAGATGTTTTTAAAATGAAGGGTTTGTTTTATTTTTTAGCAGTCATTTTAAAAATGTGAAGTAGAAATAGAAGTTCTTCTCTCCAGTCTTTAATAGAGTTTAATAGAGGAAATGTTATAAAAGGGAAGATTAGAACCAACAGACTAGATCAGCTGCTGGTCTGTGTCTTGTTTGTCTTTGCCATGGGCCAGTACTACTCTTGATTTAGCCTTTCTCAGGTCAGAGTGTCTGAAGACAATTTTGATGGTTTGGGATATTTGCTTGTGTGTATGTCTGCACCGCAGAAGCCAGAACAAGTCTTTAGATCCCTGGGAACTGGAGGCACAGACAGTTGTAACCTGTCATGTGGGTGTGGGAATCAAACCCCCATTGTCTGTCAGAGCCACCTCTGCAGCCCTGCAGTCATTCAGTATCTTTACTTATTAGAAGCTCTTGTGTGTTCTGTTTGTATTCAGCTCCCACTATGGAGCATATATTAGCAGTTGCCAATGAAGAAGGCTTCGTCAGATTGTATAACACAGAATCGCAAACCAGCAGAAAGACATGCTTCAAGGGTGAGTCTATACTTTGTAACATTTTTAATTCATAAAGCCTTTGCTAAACTTCTATTTTAATACAGATGTAGTGAGCATAGGGCACAGTATTAAGATGGTGATCCAGCTTGAGTAAGATAGATAATCAGGAACATAATAAGAACAGTGAACCATAAGGTCCACAGAAATAGGAGTCAAAGCATGCAAGACTAAAGTCAAAGCATATCAGACTACAGTTATTTCCTTGTTAGGACTTGGAGGTTTTAGACCTAGAGAATATTTCAAGAAGATTCTATTTTAGAGAAAATTTTATTAGTTTATTTCAAGGAGAGGGATGTAACGAGTACGGGTTTTTCCGCCCGCCGCCTGGTCTTGTCCCGCCGCCAAGCCAGCCCCAAATAACTCACAGAGACTCTGTATTTGATATACTGTTGGCCAGGTACTAGTTTCTAATGGCTAGCTCTGTCTTAATTATTAACCCATTTCTGCTGATCTATGTATTTTCACATGGCCTTCTCTTACCGGGGAGGCGGCTGGCGTCCAGTTCTCTCCAGACCCTCCATCTTGGTTCCTCCTTACTACTTCCTATTTCCTCCTTGTCTCTCCTATCTTCCTTTCCTATTGGCCAATGGTGCTTTATTATTAACCAGTATGAGAAACATACAGAATGACATCTCCCATCATCTCCTCTTTTCTGTCTAAATAAAAAGTAAGAATCAAAGTTAACAATATTTAGTCCATTAACATTTAGCAAGAATTGAAGAAAATATTCCATCATCTATTCTAGCTTTGTGTGTCTAAAGTCTAAGTAACGTATCATTAATCCTAACTAAGGAAAACTAACTATAACTATAACAGAATATATATATACATATATATAATATACAGAATGACATCTCCCATCAGAGGGATGCATGTGGAGGCTGGAAATTGGTGTTGTGTGTTTTCCTGTAGCATGTTCTGCCTTACTTTTTGAGACAAGGACTCATGGAGCTCATTAATTTCATTATGCTTGGTGTTTTATAAGCACCTGGTTTTTAATGGATGCTGGATCTGAACTCAGGTCCTCAAGCTTGTGCAGCAAGTACTTTACCCACTGTGCTCCCAGCCCTCAGTTGGCTTTAGATGGTGGCCTTCATATCTGTCATGGAGATGTGTGATGTCTAAGACTCCATAATGCTCTTTGGCCCGTTGACAGTAGAGTGCTAGCCACCTTTTTATAATTAAAACTTCAAGGTGTTTAGACTTCTGCTGGTATGACTGTAATAGAACCTATCTGGATATGTTCTGTTTATGTTTTCTTTGTTTAGAGTGGATGGCTCACTGGAATGCTGTCTTTGACCTGGCCTGGGTCCCCGGTGAACTTAAACTTGTAAGTTACTTTTACTAGGCCTGAGTAGAATCAGAGAAAAGGTTTCTTTCTTAAATTTAACTATATTATTTTTGGAAGGTTACAGCAGCAGGTGATCAAACAGCCAAATTTTGGGATGTAAAAGCTGGTGAGCTAATGGGAACTTGCAAAGGCCATCAGTGCAGCCTCAAGTCTGTAGCTTTTTCCAAGTTTCAGAAAGGTAGGTTGGTGTTCATCATTTCATCTCTGCCCTAATTGTTTCTTCTTTGTCCTGTTGAAGTGGTAGTGGAGGTTTTAGTGTAACTGCAGTTAAGATGGTTATGGCCTATTAAAAATTGTTTCAATGTGTATGGGTGTTTTGCCTGCATGTATGCTATGCCTGCCGAGGCTGGAAGAAGGCACTGGATTCCCCTGGGACTAGAGTTAAGGTTGTGAGCTGCCATGAGGGTGCTTGGAATCAAACCCAGGCCCTCTGGAAAAGCAACACTCTTAACTTCTGACCATCCCTCCAGCCCCTTGTGTTCTTTCCTAGGCCATTATCTCCAGCTTGTCCTGGGAAGTTAAAAGTCTTAAAGCAATTTTGGTTTTTCTATGGCCAACTTAGAAGATGGATGAGATAGCACTATTGCTAGCTATTTGAATTTTTTTGTGAGCCACCAGGTGGTAGCTGGGAATTGAACTCAGAACCTCTGGAAGAGCAGTCAGTGCTCTTAACCTCTGAGCCATCTTGTCAGCCAGCCAGCCAGTTACCGCCCCCCAATTTGAATTTTTTGAGCTAGGGTCTCATTCTGTGTAGTCCTATAGACCTTACTATGTAAAGTGGGCTGGCCTGCTACTCCCTGAGATTCATCTGCTTCTGCCTCCCACATGCTGGGATTAAAGGCATACGCTCTAGGCAAAATACCCTGTTTTTAGAAGGAATATTTTTGTTTATTCACACAAATACTCAGGAATATTAAAGTGAGCTCTTGAATTGGTTTAGGCTTTTGGCAAAGTTAAAATTTTTTGTATTATTTTTCTGAGACAGATTCTCAGACTACCCAGAAACTGATCCTCCCACCCTGCCTGCCAAGTTGGTGTTACAGGCATGTGCCACCATTCCCAGGTCACAGAGTTTCTTTTACCCTGCTGTAGTTGATGTTAAGGTGAAGTTCTGAAGAGGCAGTGTATAGTATAAGTTTCCATTGCATATAACATCATTAACATGTATTATGTGAAATTAAGAGTGCCTGTGTTCTGATTTGTACTCTTAGATTTAAGTTTATATAAAGTTCATGGGAATAATTTATGACCATGAAAATTTACCTAAAAGGGAAGCACCATGTCTTTCAGTGTTTTTGCTTAATTTTGAAAAGTGTACATGTGGATAAGTTTGTGCCAGCCTTGTGTAAAAGGAAAGAGACTGGCCTGGCATTGGTGGCGCGTGCCTTTAATCCCAGCACTTGGGAGGCAGAGGCAGGCAGATCTCTGTGAGTTGGAGGCCAACCTGAAGCGAGTTCCAGGACAGGCTGCAAAGAAAGCAATACAGAGAAACCCTGTCTCAAAAAAACAAAAAAAAAAAAAAAAGGAAAGAGACTGGGTTGGACATGGGTTTAAAGTGGGCTGTTTTAAACCTGGAGACTAAATGCTTGGTGCAGTTTTTGAATGGATTTTTTAGTTTTATAGTAGCATAGTAGAAAATGTCTTTGGTCCAGTCATTCCCCTCTGTGTGGACTAGACACAAGTGATCCTAATTGGGCATGGTGACACTAATGAAATTTGTTGCCCTGAGTGGCTGCCTTCTAAAGATTGGTAATTTAGACATATTGACTATAAATTTCTGTCTCCTAAAAGGCTTGCTTATATTTGAACCTTCCTCATTCTTCTGTTTGAAGCCAGTCCTTCTCCTATCTAAACCCCGGTGAACATTGGTTATCTGAAGAATTTTTTTTAATATGCTGATTAAATGTTAACTTCTGGGAAGTGAGCCAGGTGGTTTTTGTTTTTGTTTTTAAATCTCATCTAGGGATTCCAGTATAAAGCTAAGATTGAGGAGTGGTTTTTTTGTTTGTTTGTTTTGTTTTTTAATAGTTTTTTGTTTGCTTGTTTGTTTTTTGAGACAGGGTTTCTCTGTAGCTTTGGAGGCTGTCCTAGAACTCAGTCAGTAGACCAGGCTGGCCTGGAACTTAGACATCCACTTGTTTTTGCCTTCTGAGTGCTGGGATTAAAGGCACCCCCACTGCCCCGTTTTTGTTTGTTTGTTTCATTTGTTTGTTTTGGATTTTTTTAAACTTTTGAGATTTTTCATCCTCATCCAAGCTGTATTTATACCATTTCTACCCCTTCCCCTCCAGTTCTTCTCATATAACTTCACATTCTAAAACTTACAACTTTTTAAGTTACTTTTGCTTACACACATGTAACTATGTATTTGTTAAGTTTCTATGGCTGTGGGGATACTGCTGTTCTTGCAGTTGCTTTCTGCTTAATCATGGGCAAATCTCCCAACAATTTTATTTCTTCATTACTAATCAGGAGTATAATAAAGCTCACAGTCATTTGGAGGCAAGACCCAAAAGTAAAACTGCTGTGAATTTTGAACTTTGGCAAACTCAGGGAAAGTGGGCCACACTAGCATATGTATATGCACAAACTGACAGTATGACCACTCCATGCACAGTATGGTTAAAGGGAAGGCTTATATTGAGAGAGAACAGCAGAGGATCTGGAAGAGTCCAGAGCGGAGAAGGAACGTGGTAAACTGAGTGTGGTCATGGGGAAGCAGGAGCAGAGTGGAGAGAGGGGGAGACAAAGTAAGGGGTGGACAGAGACCACACTTGAAGTAGCAGGGGTAAAGGAGAGTGAGCAGCTGGGGGAGTTTTTAGGGTAGAGGAGGAGGTGAGCAGAGCTAGGATGCCAGCATGGACTGTGAAATGTGTGATACTGAGGGCCTGGAGGCCAGCCTGGGCTTTAGTGTGCTAACAGACACCACAGGTAGCCATATGTCTCACCTGCCTGTGGAAATTTTGGGAAATGGAGTTTCTTTTGGACCTGACAGTATGTATGTACAACCTGCTGTGTCCATTTTGTATTGCTTGTTTGTGCATGTACTTAAGACTGACCCCTGGGGATTAGAAACTTATCAGGGGCTGGTCCACTGAGGAAATTGATTCCCCTCTCTACAACCATTTATTTTCCTGTAGTCTTCATCTAAGGGTGAAGCTTTGTGAAATTTCCTTAGCCGTGCTGGCTTATTGGCTGGTATTGCCATTATGTGTGCCTTAACTGGTGAAGCAACCCTGTTAGTTGTGCTCTTCCTCTACTTGGGATCTTTAACACCCCACCTTTTGCAAATTCCATGAGACTGCATAGTCTCTGTTCAGACAATACAGCTTGCCACAGTGCAGTATGGGCTCTATAATCATTCTGCTAAGAATACTTTTAGGAGTTATTTATCTTTTCTCTGCCCATTTCTCATCTATAAAGCAGGAAGAGTAATGCCTACCTACTAGATTGATAGGAAAAATTGGGATAATGTGTGAAAAGCATTACTTGAGGTTGTAAGCTTCTCTGTGTTAACAGTTGCTTGATTATCATTTTACTAGAATTTCTAGTGTCACATTCAGTACTTTTGGGAAAATGTATTCTCTGGGAAATTTAAATGGAAATATCTTTGACTAGTTTTGCCAATATATTGATGAACTCTTTCTCCCACAGCTGTATTCTGTACAGGTGGGAGAGATGGCAACATTATGATCTGGGATACCAGGTGCAACAAAAAAGGTAAGCTAGTTTTCTCTCTTAGTAACATAATTATGATACTCAAAATAGAATGGAAAGGTTAGTGGTTTCATCTGATACCACCAGGGGGCACTTGTGTTCACAAATCTACATTTCTGTTCATTTTTCAATTCTCAAGGTAATGATTATTACAAAGTTATTGACTTGCATTTTTAATTATCTCTGAATTATAATTCCATTTACCTAAATTGTTGGTAGAATTGAAAACTAATGCATAGGTTCACTGGAAAAAGGTTTGAGTTGGGGGGACTTAATGGTGGTGTGTGTTTTTTGTCTGAGACAGGGTTTCTGTGTGTGTAGAATTGTAGCCCATGCTGGCCTCAAACTCAGAGATTTGCCTGCCTCTGCCTCCCAAGTGCTAGGATTAAAGACATGAACCACCACTGTCCAGCTAGGTTTGATATTTTGTCTGTTTTTAATTTTCCTTTTTTTGGGTCAGGCTTGCCATCAAAGCCTGACTACCTGAGTTCAGTTCCCACATGGCAGAAGGAGAAAACAAACTCCCTCAGGTTGTCCTCTTAACACCATGGACTATATTCTGCTCCATCACCCCCCCCCCACTAAAAAACAAAAGAAAAACAAAAAAATCACTTTTAGTTTAAGGAAACTCATTAAATTAAATATAAGCTTGTATTGTACCATGGTGATGTGTTTACTGCTAATTTATATATTGGTTTTAAAATATTAATAAACTGTATTTTGTGGAGCAGTTTTAGTCTCATAGCAACATTGAAGTGCAGAGAGTTGCTTATATGTTCAGCACTTAGACATAAACAGTCTTCCCCCATCAGTGCCCTTCGCAGATTTTTCAGCTGGTAAATGTTCTTCGACACACGATCACCCCAATCCAGAATTTGCATTAAGGTTTATCTTTGTGTTATACATGATAAGGATATTAACAAGTAGATGATATGTGTCTGCCATTATAATACATAGAATAGTTCGTTGCCCTAAACTGGGTATGCTCCTGTGTTCATACCTACTTCCTCACTAAGCCTTGCTACCATTGATTTTTTTTTTTTAAACTGTCTTCATGGTTTAACTAACTATATTGTATCAGTCAAAAATCAAAAATTTTGAGGTCCTGTATAAAAAATGTTCAAATGTTATGTTGAGCTTGAAATCAGAAAACCCTAAAATCAATTTTTTTGGACCTTTCAGATGGGTTTTATAGACAAGTGAATCAGATCAGTGGCGCTCACAACACTGCAGACAAGCAGACCCCTTCAAAACCCAAGAAGAAACAAAATTCAAAAGGACTTGCTCCTTCTGTGGTAAGAGTTTAGAGGTATATATGTATAAATAGGGTTTTGTTGTTGTATTTGCTTGTTTTTGAGACAAGATCTCCACATAGGCTTAGTCTGGCCTGGAATACTAGGCACATGGCTTCAGTTGCATAGCATTCATCCAGTACAGTTACTAAGTAGCAAAAATAATAATTTTATGGTAGGGAGTGTCACCACAGGATGAAAAACTGTTGAAGGGTTGCAGCATTAGGAAGGTTGGGAACTACTGCTCTAAAACAAGCTGGGCAGTGGTGGTGCATGCCTTTAGTCCCAGTACATACAGAGGCAGGCAGATAGATCTCTGAGTTCAAGGTCAGCCTAATCTACAGAGAGAGATCCAGTACAGCCAGGGCTGTTACACAGGAAAATCCTACCTCAAAAAAAAAAAACTAAATAAATACTGAGGCATTACTAACTACTCTTAATTAACTGCAAGATCTCTTCCCAATCTTGAAGAATGTAGGTTTAGAGCTTAATAAACCAGAGGTTAAGTGAATGAATTATCACATTCTGAGAACGTTTTATCTCAACAGGCAAGTTCTACCTTTTGATCTAAGATGATCAGAACTAAAAACTAGGCTGAATAACATTGTGTTGTTTCAGCCACACCCCTCAGATCCAATCCTCAGGTGTGCATGACACCCTGTTTTATCTCTCCTGGCACTCTTGCTCCCTGCAGAGTGTGTAAGTCTGGTCTCTTCGATGTTTTGAGGATGGCCAGCAGCTCTGCTGCTTACTCTGGGATACCTGGGTTTCCCCAGCTCCTGGATGTCACCAGCTATAGTCACTCAGTAGCTGGTGGTATTGGGGTGGGGGAACTGTCATGCTTGTAGAAAGTGCTTGTAGATGCTTCTTAGAGCATTGAGGGCAGCCTGGCCTTGTGTTTAGATGCACAGGCACCCTGGCAGGATATGACCATCTTAGAGCCAGACACTGCTGCAGTGTATGAAGTAGAAAAGCTCAAGCCATGCCCATAGTACATCTTTTTTTCTAGAAAAAGATTGATTTCATTAATGCAGTCTTCTGATTGATATTCCTGGTATGTAAGGGTTGAGTAAGTATTTACGGAGAAGTTTATATAACTGCCAAACTATTGCGACTAAAGGCTGCATCTTTCATTGGATTCCAAGAGAACTTGTGAGGTTAGCAGCCCTTGGGAGATAAAGTTCTCCTAACTTGCCCTTTTCCTGCACATGTAACAAATGGCATGCATGGGTAGATGAGAGGAACTTAGGGAACCAGTTCTTGTACCGTGTGTATGCTGAGTATTGCACACAGCTCTTCAGGCTTGGCAGCAGCTGCCTTTACCCACCGAGCCACCTTTCCAACCTTGGGAGCGCATGTGTGCATCTGTCTGTCTTTGTTTTGGGGGAGAGGTTGTCGTTTTTGTTTTGGGGGTTTTACTGGTTTGTTGGTTTTTTGGTTTGTGTGTATTTGGTTTTGGAGATTGTGTTTCTACATAGCCCTGGCTGTCCTGAAATTTACTATGTAGACCAGAGTGGCCTCAAACTCATAAGAGATCTGCCTGTCAAGACCTGGAATTAAAGGCATGTGCCACTATGGCTTTTAATTTTTATTATTATTAAAATATGACATCCCTTTTTGCCTTCTTTTTACCCCTTCCTGATCTCTCTTAAAATCGTGATTCCTTTGTCTTTGTTATTGTTGCATACCCACACATGTATATGTGCCTAAATATGTAAGTATAACCTGTTCAGTTTGTTTAATATATATATGGTTTCAGGGCTGATTACATGGTATTGAATAACTGGAAAAGGAGTCCTCCATAGGAGAGAGACTTATTTCTCCTTGACACTGTTTAATTGTCTGAAGTTCTTTGTCTATGTGTGGGGCTCTATGAGATTTCTCCCTTCTGTGTTAGCATATATATGAATATGGTACTTTGAGTCTTGTTTAGGCAACCATATTGTTAAGGTATCATCAGAGAAGCTTCCTGGCATTTCTAGAAAACACATTCTGACAGCAGATTCAGAAAAGCTAGTTTTAAGTACTTTGTTCTCTTACTAGTGAAGGCTGTGATGACTAAAACAGAATCCCTTCTTTTTCTATCTTGTGCTGTTAGGATTCCCAGCAGAGTGTTACTGTGGTCCTGTTTCAGGATGAGAGCACGTTGGTCTCAGCAGGAGCCGTGGATGGGTAAAAAGACTTTCTTTCCTCTACTTTTCTCCAGTGCCTTTTGAGAAAGAGCTACTATAGTACCTAATCTCATTAAATTGATTATATATGTGCCTTACTTTCAACACAGTGGGTGCTGTAGCTGGAAAGAAGTTTAGAGGTCACAATGGAAAAAAAGCAGCCAGAACTCAAATAATTAAGATAATATATGTGCTGTGCTTGCCACAATTTTCTAACTCATAGGAACAATGTTTCTTGCTGTGGGGTGGGGACTTGCTTGCCTTTTAATAGTACAGTTAAGGGCTAATGTACTTATGATTGATCTAAATGTTGATGGCCAGGTAAGTCTGGTGTTTATTCTTTTTCTGAGTACTGTGGAAAATAGATTATTTATGTGCAGGAACTCTTTAAAATGTACCTCTTTGCCTATTGTATTTCCAAATGCATTATTGTATTCAAGTTTTATTTTGTTTGGTTTTGGTTTGTTTTTTTCTAGGCAGGGTTTCTCTGTGTAGTCCTGGCTGTCCTGGTACTCACTTTTTAGTCCAGGCTGACCTCAAATTCATAGAGATCCACCTGCCTCTCTGCCTCCAGAGTAGTGGGATTAAAGGTGTGTGCCACCATCTGGTTCATTCAGGTTTTTTATTTTAAAAATGTTTTACTAATTGGGTTTTTTGGTTGTTTCCTGTTAGGGCATTAAAATCCTTATATGAATCCAGTTCTCAAGCAGAAATGGGGAGTTTCCAAAGTTATTACTGTGTTTGTGAATGACTGTGAAAGTGCTTCCATTTTATGACAAGTGTGTAGTTTCAGATTACCCACAAAGTAGAAGTAAGGATTTAGACAATTATCCCAATAGATAAAGTGAAAAACATTTTCTCCTTTCACAGGAAAGAGTTAAGGAGTTATGTATAGAAATAAAGCATGTCCCCTGCATTTCAGGGGACATATGTGTGCAGTGTTAAAGACTTAGGAAGTTTTTTTTTTTTTTTCTGGAAGAACAATGGAACAGTGACTATCGGCATCTAACCTCCATCTTCCTTTTCCCGCTACCCTGAAGTGCCAGTGACTCATCACTGGGTCAGATCACATCTGTTTCCGTTTTGTGTGAACTGTAAGCTTGACATTGGAAACAATACTGTTGAATTCCCAGTGACATGTCCTCAGTGTAATGGGGCAGTGTGACAGACAAGATAGATTAAAAGTCATTTCACACTCTGTAAATAAAATTGTTGGAATAGATCTAGATTATTGGTTATCAACTTTTGGGTTGTGAGCCCTTTAGAGGTCAAGTGACCCTTTCACGGGATCATCTAAAACTATCTGCATATCAGATATTTAAATTATGATTCGTAGTATTAGTAAAATTACAGTTAGTAAGTAGCAACAAAAATTATTTTATGATGGGGGGGTCACCACAACTTGAACTGTCACAGCATTAGGAAGGTTGAGAACCACTGGTCTAGACAATCTATAAAATACTTACCTTGGCTTTTAGGATAATCAAGGTATGGGATTTACGAAAAAATTATACTGCTTATCGACAAGAACCCATAGCATCCAAATCTTTCCTGTACCCAGGCACCAGCACTCGGAAACTAGGTAAGCCTTTGCTTTTATCTATAGGATTTGGGGTTATGAATTTCAACAAAAAAAAAATTGTTTAGTACCAGGCTAATTTTCAGCAAAGACTTCAAAAACAAAGTATATGGTTGTAAACATAAAATTTCAATTTTTTTATTTTTATATATTCTAGAAATAATTATCTCATGGCATGAACTTTTTGTCCCCACTGACATTTGTAACCTCACTGACATTCATTAACTTTTTCCAGGGTATTCAAGTTTGGTTTTAGATTCTACTGGCTCTACTTTATTTGCGAACTGCACAGATGATAACATCTATATGTTCAATATGACTGGCTTAAAGACTTCTCCAGGTAAGATATGAGTCATTCAAATTCTCTTATCGAGAAAATAATTAATACTTGCTTATTTTGCTAATGATAATTCAGTAGTGGTTTTCGGTTTTTGTGTTTTGTCTTGTTTTCCTAAAATAAGCATTAGCCACATGAGGGAAGACTCTGCCATCTTTAATTAGTTCCTGTGGTGTTTTATTTAGTATATGTTCCTGTGACCATTTCACAAGTAAACAGACTCATACTCTGTGTGATGAATAATGAGTCTCCTGAAGCCATGCTCTTTGGCCTGTTTGGGGTTATCATTAATCTCTTTAAGGTTTACTTTATATGTATGAGTTTTCTGCTTACATGCCTAGTGTCTGGACTTTAGAAGGGGACAGTAATCAGATTCCCTAGAACTGGAGTTATAGATGGTTGTGAGCCACCAAATGGGTGCTGGTGGTCAGATCTGGGTCCTCTGTAAGAACCTATGTAGTAAGCCATTGGCTCTCTAGCCCCTAAGGTTATCTTGATTTTTCTCTTTTAAAAATCTGCAAAATAAAACTTCTTGACTTTTTGTCCTATTAAAATTAGAGGATTGAATTTTATAGACTTTCCTGGTAGTTTTTGCCTTCTCAGTGTTGGGTGAAGACCATTTATCTCCTAAGGTCTATCTTCCCTAATGTGCGTTTTTTCCCCCTCTCCCTGAAGAATATAAAATTAGAGGGCTCGGTGTGGTGGGGATATGAAATGATGTCTCAGCAGTTAAGAGCACTGGCTGCTTTTGCAGAGGACTCAGGTTCAATTCCCAGTACACACAGAGCAGCTCATATTTGTCAAGAGATGCCCTATTCTGGCTTCTGTGTAGGAAACCAGGCATACACAAGGTATACAAACATGCAGGCAAAACACCCATACACACTAAAATAGAAATAAGTAAATATTTTTTAAATATTTTTTAAGGAATATAAGAATAGAATCTGAGACTAGTAAATATTTGTATAAGAAACTAATGTTTCTAAAGCATACTTGAAGGGGTTACAGATTACATTTTTTAAAATAATCAGTGTTAGAGCCATGGTTCTTCCTCATAGCTTAGTTTGGTTAAAAATCTTTGAATTCCATACTACATTCCCAGGACCCCTTGGTTCCCGAATGAGCTAATAAACAAGAAATATTGTAATATTAAGGAACTTGGGGCATTTGGCTGTGATTTTAGAGAAATTTCCAAATATTTCCCCTAGCCATTTTCAAGGATTATTTGATCTGTAGTAGTGCTATAAGAGGTATGGCCTTTAAAATCAGTGAGGGGCTCTGTGGTACAGTGTTTGCCTAGTGTGCATAAGCTCCTAGGTTCAATCCCCAGTACTATAAAAAAGAAAAAGAAAACTACGCTATAGCTTGGAAAGATGGCTCAGTTGTTAAAGTGGTTGCCACTCAGACATGGGACCTGAGTTTGGATCACTAGTACCCATGTGACAACTGGGCATGGCAGTACTCACATATAATTTGGGGAGGTAGAAGTGGGAGAATTCTGGAGCCTGTTGGCCAAGTAGTCTCATGGAATTGGTAAAAACTCCAGGTTCAGTGAGAGAGAGAGACTTCTCTAGGGGTGAGGGCAGAGTAATGAGGAAGACATCTGATATCATTGACCTGGCCTCAAGTGTATACAGGACACATGCACAAGATAAAATCTAATCTGGTATACTTCTCTTATATGTATATTTTCCTATAGTGTAGCACTAAAAGGGTCTTGACTTTAGTTTGCCATTAAACGCTTGCTAATAATTTAGTAACCTTTTAAAATTGTTCTCATGGATAGATTTGTTTTTTTTAGAATGCTAATTGGGTGTGATAGCATATGCTTTTAGTCCCAGCACTCAGGTGGTAGAGGTAGGAAGATGTTTGAGTTTGAGGAAAGCCAGAGCCACATAATAAAGGGACCCTGCTTCAAAAAATGAAGTGTGTGTGAGAGTTAAATCTGCATATAAAAATCATCTGATAATACTTGCCTTTTTAAGACTTTGGGAAGGATCAGAGTAATTTTTATTTAAATTCATAATATCATAATATACTAAGTTTTATCCCATGCCCAGTTCAGCACAGAACTAAGTTGAAGCCAGGCATAGTATCATATGCTTATGGGACACTGAGGCAGAGGGCCAGGAGTTCACGTCCACATAATGAGATCCTGTCGCCACCTCAAAACAACAAAAAAACAAAGTGGACTAATTATAATTAAAGCTATTAGAGAATTTTAGGGGAATTTTTGCCATATTTGAAACATTTCATTGTGTTTTATAACAGCTTTTCCTAGACCAGCAGAGGGCAATAAAAACAGGGTTAGTGGGGAATTCAATTTATAATTTTTCATTCATAGTTCAACACAGAGGATGAATAATTTGAACACTTCTTGTTTCAGAACAGTGTTCAGAATGAAGGAGCCTCTTTATTATATGGGTTTTTTTTATCATTCTTTTTCAAGACAGGGTTTCTTTCTTTGTAATGTGTTTTGTTCTGTTTTTAGCATCTAGCTCCCTATTATTTGGTAGCAAGTTGAAGCGGTGATAATGCTTGTGTGATTACTGTGTGTGCATATCATTTGCATTTGTTGGGATACTGGAAATGAGAAGAGCCAAGTAATTTGGTTTTCTCTTCTGGCAGTGGCTGTCTTCAATGGACACCAGAACTCTACCTTTTATGTAAAATCAAGTCTTAGCCCAGATGACCAGTTTTTAATCAGTGGTTCAAGTGATGAAGCTGCCTACATTTGGAAGGTAAAGTGTCAACTTTTGTCCAGTATGAGGTGTGCTTAGTACAAGCACACACTGCTGTCTTTACCTACTTTCTTTACTCCTGGAGTTTTTAAACTGTATTACTAGTTACAAATGCTTCTCTTATATTTAAAATTTTGGATTTGAAAGTTTTGTTCTTTGTGTTTTCTGTTTCTTTCCTAACTCCCTTACTACTTTTATTTCTCTACTTTAACTCCCAACTTAGTTACAGGAGTTTTCTCATTTCACAAGTCTGTGTCATTTGAGATTTCCTTCTTAAAAGAAAACACCAACTGAAATTTTAGACATATCAGATAACATAATAGAATGGCTAGTTCCATAAAGTACACATGATTATATATGTAACTAAATATATACATATAAATTTTCTTGCCAAATATTAAAGTTTCTCTAGCACAGGATCCTTTTAAAATTTTAAATTTGGTAAATGAGAATTGCGGAGCTGCGCATAGGTACTTACTTGGTGGTGTTTCTAACCCATTCTTAGAAACCTTATCTGTGGCCACCATACCTGTGAGTGACCCTAACTGAATTCCCAGGCTTGGTTCCATGTCACCACTGAATGACGTGGTTTAGACAGGATGTTCTCCTGCCTGTTTGCACATAGCTCAGTGTGCAGGCCCTGATACTTGAGATCTTGGCAAGCTTACTACTCCTAAAATTGAATTTGTCCAGTGAGATGGCTCAGTTTCTCTTTTCCATTATTAAAAGTGGAGGAGTTTAAAAGGGATTTCATGTAAGCTGAGTGTACAGACTACTGAGGTATCTCTTAACCTGCTTCATCTCTAATGAGTTAGATACATTCATATTGAATTCATTCTGTGCTAAAGGAAAGAACAAAAGGAAGGAATTTTGTATCTTCTGCCAAAATGAGAATGACTTTTTATAGAATCCTCATGATACTAAGACCTAAAATTGTGAAAAATGCATTGAACATTCTGCTTTTTAATTCCCTACCCCTCGACCCACCCGTACTTTTGCCTCCTCTTTCTGTCTGTTTCTGATACAGCCACTGAATAGTATTAAAGTGGTTATAAATAAACTGATTTGGCATGGCCATTCTGCCGCTGACTGGCGGGACACTGAGCCTGACACTTAAGGAAGTGTAAATGATCTCATGGCAAAAATAAAGATTAGATTTGGTTTCCAATTGGGCAGAGTAAGGAGATTTTGCGAGGAAAAGTGCTGATGATTTTTTTTTTGTGTGCTTAAGTACTCAAAGTGCTTTATGAGGTCTAAAGGTTAGAGCCATTTACTTCAAGAGGTGCCTCATAATTTTAACTTTTGGATTCCTGTGTCATAAACATTCTATAAAAAGTAGAATATGTAAAAGAGGACAGTTTTCTGTATTGAACACCCCAAAATATTTAGATTTTTTTTGTGTTCTTTTTAAGTTCCTACTCAAAATGAAAGCTTTTTAAAAATTAAATAATTATGGTAATTTTTTATATAATAAATTGAAATGTAATGAAAATGGGTTTCAAAGCCATCTGGGTTTCATGAGGAAAAAAAATCATCTTATTTAAAGTAGTCAAAAAGTAAATATTCTACCTAAGATAGTCCTGAGCTGTTAAAGTTCTTGTCACCAAAATTCACAAAAAAAACTTACCAGCAATTGGCTTCTGTCCCTTCTCTTTTTTATTAAAACAGAATCTAGGGGTCGGGTATAGTTGTGCACACGTGTAATTGCAGCACCTAGGAATTAGACACAAGAAGATTTTGGTTTGAGGTGAGCCTAGGCAGGACAAGCTTATATTTACAAGAAAATACAAAGATCTACTTAAGAGCTGAGAGTAAGGTACAGTGTTAAGTGCTTGCCTAGCATTAGAGACACCCTGCACTTGATTCCCTAGCATCACCAAATACATTTAAAGTGTACAATATATCACACTCCCCTAACAATTGCCACGTTGTATATTCTCTCTCTGAGACATTTCATATAAATAATGTCACATAGTATATGGCATTTAGTGTCTGACCTTAGTATATTATCCAGGTTTAGGTTTTGCACAGTACTTCATCCTTCCAAATACTGAAGAATGTTCTGTTTTATAGGCAAACCATATTTTATCTGCTTATCTGTTGATGGTCATTTTATATATTCAGAATGTTTTTACTCTTAGTCTGCTGTCACCATTTGTGTGTTTTTGCTTGAGCATATTTGCAGTTCACTGAGGGGGGGGGTATATACCAAAGAATAGAGTTGGTAGATCATATGATACTTAATTACATGTCTTTTTGTATGAAGTATCTTCCACCTAGTTTTTTGATATTATGTAAAGTGCCTGGTGTATGAATTCAGTGAATAAATGCTGACTTTATAACTTTAAAGTCCTTTCTAAAGTATATTTTTCTTAGAAAGAATGACTTGGCGATTTATGGCATTGTAGAACTAGGCAATAACATCCATGTAGATTGGGGGCTGCCTTATCTGTTAGTACATTAAACTTTCAAGGCAAATTAAACTCTGCCCTTTGTTTTTGCCGTTTTAATCATTGTACATTTGCCACGTTGCAGAGATAAGAGTAGCAATGATTGAGTTAGATAATCCCATGAATCAGTGTTGAGTCTCAGCTGTAATTTGGAGAATCTGTTCAGCTGGCTTAGTAAGTGTCAGAAATATTCTTTCTAAAGTTGCCTTCACTTCATGCAAATGATTCATGATTCAAAGCCTTGGGAAAGTAGAGAATGTGTTCTCCAAGAGCCTTGCTTTTCAAATACATGACTAAGAATAGCAGTGTGAGCTTGCATTCCCTGTTATGCTGGAGTTTCTGTGTGCTGTGAGAGTTATTGATAGCTAGCTCTGTAATGAATGGCTGTACAGCACTATCAAGTGCCTGTCACTGGAAGCATCTAAGGATGGAAAAATAGAGTTCTTAATAATATGTGCAGAATTTCACAATCTGACTTCTTAATACATTAAAGGTATATTAAAATGTGAGGTTATTTGAAATTTTAAATTGTCCTTCAAACAAATTAACTGAAAAGTTTGAATGAAAAAGTATAAATTATAGCTATGTCTCTCCATTCAAGTTGAAGGTTATACCATTCAAAATGAATGATTGATACTTTGGATTTTGGTCATAGTGTATTTGGTTGCCCATTTCAGCTACCTTCAGGATTCAGTTAATTTAATATTCCTGAAATGGCTAGTTATAGAAGATCTGGACGTGTCCACATAATGTAAAAAAAGGATTGGAATGAAGAGAGTACCTGGAACTGAACCTCGGCCCAGAAAGCTCAGTGGCTGAGGGACAGTGCCAGCATGGCAGTTTAGTTGAAATAGGAACTATCATGTTTGAACTCATAGTCTTGACTTTGACTGTTGAATCAGACAACTCTACCTTTGTTGACAACCCTAAAGCCCTAAGACATAGATAAGGAGATTCCAGACCTCTGTGGGGTCTAATACTTTTGTGCTATTTGTTCTCTCTGGTTTGGCTAGGTTTCCATGCCCTGGCATCCTCCTACCGTGCTCCTGGGTCATTCTCAAGAGGTCACGTCTGTGTGCTGGTGTCCATCGGACTTCACCAAGGTTTGTGGATGCTCTCCATAATTGGTTTTAAAAAGTGGATTCTAGATTTGTACATTTTTCTCAAGGTTTATTTGAAAATTATACAGACTTTTATGTTTAGACATTTAAAAGAATCCAGGGTATGTATTACACTCACGGTTTTTCCCCCAATATGAAGGATTATTATATACAAGCTGGATTTATAGTTCATTAAGTCACTCCTTTTCTTAAAAATATAAAATGAAATTTTGAACTGAAGATTCAATTTGAAATCTACAATGAAGGTCTAGAGAGGTGGTTCAGCTTAAAGAGGACCTGTGTTGGTTCCTAGTGTCCATGTCAACATCAGGTGGCTCATAGCTGCCTAAAACTCTAGCTCCAAGGGGAACCAATGCTTCTCTCTTTCATGAGTGACTGCTGTTACAGGCTCAGGTGTGCACACGCACACAACACACTCTTAAAAATAGATTGTAAAAACTAAGTCTAGTATGAAAAAAATGACAGGTGGTATAAACACTGAGTCGAACTAAAACCCAGATGGAGAGGACAAGACCAGGCTGCAGAAACACATAGAAACAGCTTACCTGAACAAGGAGGAGCTAACAGGCCCCCAAACTGATAGCTGGGAATCTAGCATGGGACTGACTCAGGCCCCCCTGAATATGGGTCTCAGCCAGAAGGATTGAGCAGTCTAAGGGACCTCAGACAATGGAATCAGGATGTATCCCTGGTGCACAAAAGGACCTTGCTAACACATCCCCCATGGAGGGATAACTATGGAAGGATAACTGCCTTGACCTAGAGACAGGAGAGAAGCCCTAGTCCCTATTTCACATGACCTGTCAGATCTACATGACCCCAACTGGATGGCATTGCCCTATATATGGAATTGGGATGGGGGATGGGAGGGGAGGGTAGTTAGGATGCATGTGAGAGGGCAGAGAGGGAGGAAGGGAGGGAGAGGGAACTGGGATCAACATGTAAAATAATAAATTAAATAAAAAAAAATAAAGTTAAATTTAAAAAACAATGGCAGGTGGCTGGGCAGATGGTTCTGTGGGTAAGAGCACTTGATATACAATCATGCGGACCTGAATTCAAATGTCCAGTACCAATTTAAGAAGCTGCACACATCTGTAACCTTGTTGCTGGAGTTAGAGAGGGGCATGCCAGGAGCCTGATGACCAGCCAGCCTGCCCAGCTGCAGTGGGTACGGGTTTCTGGTCTCAAGAAAGAGAAAAATGAAAAAGTGAGCTGAAAGTTTTTGTTCTTTCTACATATTACCAGTGCACATGAACAGTTAACAACTGGCTGTTTTGCTACATACAGTCTACTGTGAGTTTTTGTGTATAACTGACAGTGCTATTGTGAGGTCCTAACAGGGCAGGTCACTGTAAGGAGTAAGGTCAGAACTGTTTTAAATGCTCTAAAAAGAAAAAATAGGTTTTTTTTTTTTTTTTTTTTTTTTTTTTTTTTTTTTCTTATCTTTTTTTTTTTAAAGGAAAATTTATGTCATTCTTAAAAGAAAATCCACATTTTAAAATGTAAAAAGACCAGAAATTGAAACTATGTTTGTATATAGGAAGTTTTGTCACTTGTCTTGTTCTTAACTTTACCTGTTCTCTAACCTTCAGAAACTTTATATCTAGCCTATGCTTGGCATTGGCATACTATTGGCATTTCAGAAATGCTCTGGATCTGGCCTAGGTTTGGTTTGTTTATATCCCTATTACATTTCTTTGGTTAGCTTCATGAAAGCTCCTCTTTATAAGCTTACACAGGAACAGGTTTCACTATCACGTACTTAAAGCATTACTCCTTCCTTGTCTATAATTACATACTGGTGACATTCTCTCCAAAATTTCATGTAATTTCTAATGGAATGCCTGATTTGTATACGGGTTATCAGATATACCATTGTATTTTCGGGTATTGGGGGAGTTTTGTTTGTTTTTGGAAAAGAACATCTTTGCTGCTGTACATCTCAGAGCTTTGAAGTCACTATCTTCCTGCTCTACCCTGTTATCCCAGGTGCTAGGGTTACAGGTGCATATCATTGTGCCCAGTTTTCAAGGGTTTTTAAATGAGATAAAAGAATGTGAAGGAAGCTGGGCTTTGGTGGCACATGTCTTTAATTCCAGCACTCCAGAGGCAGAAGTAGGTGGATCTGTGTGAGTTCAAGCCCAACCTGATCTACAGCATGAATTGTAAGACAGCAAGAACTGTTGCATAAAGAAACCCTGTCCAAGGGCAGGGAGGGGAGAGGTAAAGGGCCATATGTATAATAAATGCCTACAAATATAATTATTGCCACTTTAGCATTTGTGGGGTTCCAACATTTTTCGTTGAGAAGTGTGTGTCTTCTTTTGGCCTCCCAGTAAGGGAAGGAAAATGTTGCCAGTCTCTTGGGGGCCACGACTTAAAAGAACATGTGTTCTTTTTTTCCTTTCTGTTTAGTGACTGAAATAGAGAAATTATATAAACAAATGCTGGGGAACAGCTCTGGCATCAGTGGCCATTTGCCTCTAGCTCTTCAAGCTGGGCTTTCTCTGCCATAAAAGGCTTGGGACCAAGATCAGGAATGGTTGGATATTTTTAAAGGGGCAAAGGTTATTTTTAACTTCTTTCAGCCTAGTGAACTTTTTGTTTTCCTGGATTGCTCCTTTACCTATCTGAAAAAGCATCTCAAAGGAATGGGTTTATTGTACTTGTCATGGCTTGCTGAGGATACAGGCTAAATCTGATCTGGGAAATGTTGTCATTGCTTAAGCAATAAGATAAAGCACATAGAATTTAGAAGGAATTGAATAGTAATGATAAGTACTAATCAACCATTTCACATAAGGAGAATAAAAAGGAGTCTTAATTACATTTAGTTATATAAAGAGTGATAAAGACATGAGTTGCCTGGCTTCAGAGACCAAAAGGAAATGAGCCTGTAATTGTAAAGCTATATAGGTTATGTGAGAATTGATAGTGAATTGGTGCCCTTTGCTGTTCTTGCAGAGGACCCAGATTCAGTTTCAAGCACACACAACCATCTTCATTTCCATAGGATATAATGCTCTTTTCTGTTCTCTGCTGGTAAACACTATTCAAAACACATGGAGTAAAGTTAAAACTTTTTTAAAATGCAATTACTTGTAATGAGTTTCTCAGTAGAAAAAAAAATTTTTTTTTAAACTGAAGTTTGTGTCATTGTAAAGCTTAGAGTGAGTCTCTAAAACAACAAGAGGTGGGGGTAGATGATCTTTCAGATATTCTCTGTGTTGTGTTATAGTACACAAAGTAAGTCACCGTTCATGAGTCCTTAGGGCATAACTACTTTTGATTTTGTTGTGAATCTTAGAAACTTACCATTCTTTTCCTGGTTCTTAGATTGCTACTTGCTCTGATGATAATACACTAAAAATCTGGCGCTTGAATAGAGGTCTAGAGGAGAAGCCGGGAAGCGATAAACATTCCATAGTAGGTTGGACCTCTCAGAAGAAAAAAGAGGCAAAATCTGGCCTAGGTAAGATAGCATGCATTTCCATGGTTTTCTTGGTTTCCTTGGTGGATTGAGTCCTGATGTGTACTATGGGAGGCTAGATTTGCTCTTGTTTTGTAATATTTTTAAAGAAAAGTGCCATCTTGGCATTTCTTAAAGAGAACTGTCCTCTGTAACTGACCACTTCTTTGTCATCTATTAAGGGGCTCAAAAAGAATAATGGATTTAGTCAGCAAAAATTCATGGACTGTCATGTGCTGTGTAGTCTTAGTTTGTTTAGCAATGAATAGAAGACTCATCTCAGATATAAACATCTTACCCATGAGTGTCTAAAGAAGTAGATTACATCAAGTAACAGGAGAGAAGAATGGAAATGTGCTGTCAAATGTCTGTGATAGACAGGCCTCACTGACCTGTCTAGGGAGAGGGAAGTATTTGGTGAGCCATGTGGGTATTTGGGAGACTGCTCCAGCAGGCAACATGGTGAGGCAAAGGCACTGCAGCATAGCACACCTGGCATGTTTTCTCTGCCTCCAGAAGGCTAGTGCTAAAGCCAGTGAGGGACAGCAGGAAAGTACTAGTAGAAAATGAAGTTTCATGCATGACAGGAGTCATCAAAACCTGTGTGATAGCACATGCCTGCCTGTAATCCCAACACTCAGGAAGAGTGTGCATTTAAGGTTAGCCTGACCTTGTCTCAAGAAAACAGAGAATATATTTAACAAAATTTCAAATCTATTTAAATTTTGGGTATAAAAAAGAGCCCACAGAATAATATGCCAAAGGATCACATGTACGATATAAGGGGAATTTTAAAGGATGACTTCAGGATTTTTACTTGGGGCTACAGGATGGAGCTGTCTTAACCTAGATAGGAATTGATGCAGATTTGGGGAGGAAGCTAGAGTTTGATTTTGATGTAACATGGCATTGTCTTACATCTAAAGTGAGGTGTCAAAAGAAGATGGTAGTAAATAGGGTGGAATTTGCTACTTTATTTTTAAGCAAGAGTTGGTGAGGTTTACAGTGTGAGGCTGTAGTTGAGCCAATACTCAAGGGCTTTCAGTGTAGTCGTAGAGCGGGTGAACATGGTCTGCTCTGCTGTGCTGTCCTCTTTAGGACCCAACACAGCAAGGGAAGCTCAAATTGAGACCAGTCTTGGATGATTAGAGTGATTTCTCCATCTTTAGGTGGTGGTAACATTACTCCAAAGTGTACTGCCAACCTGACCTAGGAGACACAGGCTCATTCCCTTGCCCTTTGACCCTGTAAGCCAGCTTCCAGAACAGATTGGCTGCTATTAACAACAGTGCCATTTTTAATGATTCTGTTCATCTGTTTTCTCAGGTTATGATGTTCTGACATTTCAGACAGGCCCTCTCTGGCTTTTTTATGCTAATTGCAAGGCATAACCCTTTCCCCTCTGATGTGCTTTGCCCAACCAGCACCTGTTCTGCTGCACGCTGTGCTTCAGTGGAGACCTCACAGCACTCTCGAGGCTTTCAGAAACACCTGTGCAGCTTTTCAAACATTTGTACATTGCCAGTCGTAAATTTTGTGAGTCTTGTGTGGAGGTCAGGTGTTTGCATTTTTATAACGTTCTAGGTGAGTCTGTTATGCAGCCAGGATTGAGATTCTCTGGTCTAGGCACTGAGTGGCAGAATGATTATCCTAATTGCAAAGATAAGGAACTCTCTCTTGAAGCTCAAGTGTTTGTTATCTGGTTAGACAGCAGGATAATTGTTGTCAGTTTCCTAATGCCTCTGTCATCACCTCACTGTTAGCAACCATGAAGTTTGAAGTTTCACGTTGTTTAATAATTCCTTACTAAACACTAAATCCTCATCCCCCTCCTGGGCTCACTAGCTAGCTGAGGAAGCAGATGCAAACACTATATAGTAACTACAGTAAACATAGCTACACTGGTGAAGGGCTCTGAGAACCCATGTCTTCTGTGACAGGGCAGTTGTGTTGAGAAATGTTTATGAGTGTGGGGTTACCAGATCCTTGAAACATAGGGATTTTTTTTTTTTTTTTTTTTTGCCTAGTAAGGAAGGGGCCAAAAGTACATGTGACCTGAGGCAGGGTATAATAGTGCACAGACTGTTGAGGAAAGCCATAAGTTGTCCCCTGCCTATTGCAGGATCTTAAAGTAATAAGCGTAAGACTGAAAACGTAGTGACCAAATGGCTAACCTTTGAACAGAAAGAAGCTACAGGTTGAAGAGTAGTGTACTCTATAAGTCTTTCAAAGAACTATCTTGAAGAAGCCAGAGTGAGGGCTGGAGTTCAGAGTACTGGCTATGTTCTTTCAAAGGTCCTGAGTTCAACTCCCAGCAACCATGTGATGGCTCATAACCATCTGTAATGAGATCTGGTGCCCTCTTCTGGCCTGCAGGGATATGTGCAGGCAAACACTATACATAATAAATAAATCTTTAAAAAAAAAAAAAAAAAAAGGCAGAGTGAGGCGTTGTTGTCAGGACAGAGATATAGCTCCATGCATGATGGTAGAGTTCTTATCTACCTTGTCCAATTTACCCAAAGCCCCGGGAGAAAAGAAAGGCTTTGAGCAATAGCTCAATCCACCATGTGTGATCAGACTTCACACATGGCTTGTCAAAGACTGGTGTTCCTAAATGAAATAGAAAATGGTAGGTCGTTTAATGTATTGGTAGTATTGTGATGCACAGTTGGAGAGTGCAGTGCACCTGAATCCTGAAAAACAGTTATAGAGATGTGTACTACATTCATGCAGTGCCTCAAGAGGCCAGAAGAGGGCCCTTGGGTGCTCTGGGAGTTACAGGCAGTTGTGAGATGTTATGTGGATGCTCAGAACTGATCCTAGGTCCTCTACAAAAGCAGTCAGTGCTCCTCACCCTGAGCATCTCTCCAACTCAGTTGGCATTTACTGTCAGTCCATCAAAATTCACTTTGTATAGATGCAATTCAGTAATTAAGACTGTTGTCAATGGTTCTTATTATTTAATTTGGAAAGCTCCGAAAATAACTGGGAAAATACAGTATTGGCTGAAGCATAAAGTTTGTAAGAATTTTCAGGAAAGACTTGGTGTGAATGGAATAAGGACACAGAGGAGACCTCTCCACAAGCTTGATTGCTTTCCAAAAGCAGTCATTGGATTCTGAATGTTCTTTGGTATTCTTTGACTTGTGGAAATTAGTAGCTATTTTTAAATTAATCTGGAAAGTCATTGAGGCCTAATAATCGCAATAGGATCACTTCTTGTAGGGAAAATTTTTTCATTTAACAGATGTGGAAGGATATGTTGGATGGATAGTTATGCCCAAGTCACATACTGAGTGATTTGCCAAGTTTTAGGTCTATGTGTTTCTGTTTGAGAACCATGTGAGGGCTTCTTTACCTTCAAATTAGTCAAGTGTTTACAGGAAAGGCATTGTCACATAGGGATGAAATGCCATTAATAGCCTGCATTCCTGTTGCAGTGCACTGTGGTGCGTGTTACATGCTGTATTTCATCAGTTCCTTAGTGTGCAGCCAGAAATGTCAGTGAGATCTGTTAATGTGTTGGTGATAAAGTAAAAGGTAGGTTATATTTCTTCTCTTTTCCTTTTGAGACAGGATCTCATGTTAATTCTTTTATAAGGTTAGAAAATCTTAAATGAGCAAAAGCTGTTGGTAAAAGTTTGTCAAAAGGCATGTAGAAAAATGTCAAATACCACCAATAAACAGGAGGGCTTAAATTCAAACCACAGTGACAGTCATTTCACCTCTTAGAATGACCAGTATCAAAAAGGCATGGTGTTAGACATCTGACATCCTAGAAGCCTGAGAAAGTATCTAGTTTGAGGCCAATCTGAGAACATGGTAAGACCCTGCCCCAAAGCAAGTAAACAGGAAAGGTAACAGGAATGGGTGAGGAGCTACACTGCAGGTATTCCTATAAATTATTTCCACTGTTTTAGAAAAATAGTGCAGCATTTTCTCAGAAAATTAAAAACAATTTTGATGTGATCCATCAGTCCCACTGGAGTGTGTAGCTAGTGGAGATGGTCAGTGTGTGGAAGAGGCGTGTGCATGTACATAGCCACTGTGGGTTATGTGTTAATGTCCAAGTACAGAATTGGTAGAAGTGTGACCACCAGAGGAATAATAAAGAAGCTTGGGTATAAGCAGTAGAATACTGCTTAGTGGCAAATTTTAGATTGGAATGAGAGACCAGATACTTTTGAGTCAGGGTTTTACTTAATTCATAATCCTCCTACCCTCAGCACATAAGTGCTGGGAGTCCAGGTATATTCTATGATACCTGGACTGTTCAGCCTTTATAAAGGATAAATTTAGGTCATTAAGAGAGCCAAGCACTGCCATATGGTGGTGGTAGTGACACACACCTTTAATCCCAGCGCTCAGGAGGCAGAGGCAGGTGGATCTCTGAATTCAAGGCCAGCCTGGTCGACAGAGCAAGTTTCAGGACAGCCAGAGTTTTGATACCCAGAGAAACCCTGTCTTGAAAAGGAAAGAGAGAAATCAAGCACAAGGAGGAAGTATATATACTCTATATTTCTTCTATGTAGAATTCAAAAACACTGAATTTAAAGAAACTGGAGTTAGGCAGGAGAATCAAGAATTCAGAACCACCCTGAGAGGCTTGAGGCCCTGTCCATAGTACTTCTGTCATGAAGATAAGGAACTTAAGTTTGTTTTTAAGATCTACTTTTATCTATTTGTGTGTGAGTGTATGCCACATGTGTGCCATTGCCCGTGTAGGCAAGAAGAAAGTGTCAGATTCCTAGAGTAGGATTTACATGCTGTCATAAACTGCCAGACATGGGTTCAACATGGATATTGGGAAACAAACTCAGGTGCTCTGCAAGAGCAACAAGTACTTTTAGCCACTGAACCATTTGTCCAACTCAGGATCCCCATCTCTTAAAAAAGAAAAAAGAAAACACCAAAACACAACAGAGGGATGGAGAGATTACCCAGTGGTTAAAAGCATTGGCTGCTTTACCAGAGGACCTGGGTTCAAATTCCAGCACCCACCCACCATGCACCCACATGTTGGCTAACAGCCATCTGATCTGACACCTTTTTCTATTCTCCACCTGGATGGATGCATGCATGGGACTCACAAACATACATACAAGAAAACACCCATACACATAAATTTTAAAGAGCTGAGTGTAGTAATGCACACCTTTAATCCCAAAGTCTGGGAGGCAGAGGCCGGTGGATATCTGAGTTTGAGGATAGCCAGGACTACATGTTAGACACTGTTTCAGGAGACATATACAGTAGAATGGTGGCCATTAGGAGTTTGCGAGAAGGGCCAGTTGGGCGATGTTATTTGAAGGATATAAAATTTTGTGTGTATGCATACATGAGGATGAAAAAAGGTTTTGGATAAACATACAGCAATGTTGTCACTAATTAGTATATATTTTTAAATACTTATTATGAGGTGATCAATTATGTCAGATCTATTTAGTCATTCTATTATAATATGTACATATGCCAGAGTATCACATTTATCCTCAAATTCATACAATAAAAAGTATAGATGTAAAAGACTATGAAACACTATGCCCTTTGATATCAGTTTTGTATAACATGTTAGAGCTGTGTCACACTTGCACACATGGAAACTGGAGTGGTATGCTAGTGCCTTAAAGATTTTCTTTCCTAGGTTTTACAAATATATGTTTACTTCAGGGTGTTTAGGGAGCAAGGGATTAGAGAAAGGTAGGACAAATGTTAGGAGGGTATAGTAGAAATGGATTGTTGGGGTTTTTTTTTTTTTTTTTTTTTTGAGTACCTACTTACTGGCAAATCAACTCTTAAATCATGTTAGATATGATTTCCCTTGGTAAGCAAGCACTCAAGAACTTTGCATCATTTTCTTTCTGATTTTTGTGTTCTTCTTCATTTTCAGTAATGGTAGCAAGTAGCCAGACTACTCCTGCCAAAGCCCCCAGAGCCAAGAGCAGTCCATCCATTTCCTCTCCATCATCAGCAGCTTGTACTCCAAGCTGTTCTGGAGACCTCCCTCTTCCTTCAAATACCCCCACGCTCTCAGTCAAATCCACTCCTGCCAAGACCCGGTCTCCAGTTGGCAGAAGAGGCCCCACCTCATCTGTGTCTCCTAAGCCACTCTCGTCCTTCAAGATGTCTCTTAGAAACTGGGTAACCCGAACACCTTCCTCATCACCACCCGTGACTCCACCTGCTTCTGAGACAAAGGGCTCGTCTCCAAGAAAAGCCCTCATTCCTGTGAGCCAGAAGTCATCACAAGCAGATGCTTCCTCTGAATCTAGAAATAGAGTGAAGAGGCGTCTAGATTCAAGCTGTCTGGAGAGTGTGAAGCAAAAGTGTGTGAAGAGTTGTAACTGTGTCACTGAGCTTGATGGCCAAGTGGAGAGTCTTCACTTGGATCTGTGCTGCCTTGCCAGCAACCAGGAAACCCTTAGCAAGGACTCTACAGGTCCTACCAAATCAAGTGAGGTTGAAGGCACTGGTGCAGGCATCTTGGAGCCTCCTTCTCCTGTTGGTCCTTACACTTCAGAAGGCTGTGGAACCTTGCCTCTTCCTTTACAGCCTTGTGGAGAAGGGTCTGAGATGGTGGGCAAAGAGAATAGCTCCCCAGAAAATAAGAACTGGTTGTTGGCCATGGCAGCCAAACGGAAGGCTGAAATTTCATCACCGCGAAGTCCATCATCCCAGACACCCAGTTCCAGGAGACAGAGTGGAAAGACATCACCAGGCCCGGTAAGCCTTCAGTGTGGGAGGATGGATGTATGGATGTCCTATTTGAAGGGGACTCAGAAATTTTGTGTTGAATTAATTGACCGCCCTGTTACTCCAGTAAACCCTTCATCTGCTCATATTCCTCAGTCTTCCTGCTTGATTTACCTAAGCCTTTCTCTTTCACCATCCAGGGTGTCAGTTCACAAATATCTCTTCTGTTAGACATTATGACTTTTTTTTTATAGTTGATATTCTTGGGAGACTTGCCAACATCTATAAGTAGATTTTTGACTTGTAATTGCATTTTATGGTCAAAATGAAGCTTAGGTATTTCAAAGCAATTAAATTAAATTACAGATTCCTTAATTTTTATGGCTTTTCCCCAAGTTTGTGATTGTCTTGCATACACCAATATTCTGAATACTTGTGTCTGCTCTCCTAACATTCAGCAGTTCAGTGTGATGTTTCTTACCTTTTTTAAAAGACTCGCTTTTCATTGACTGACATGACGTTTAAATGAGATTATGACTTAGGATGGTGGAGACAGAAGTAGCTGAGCATTCGGTGAGCCATGGACACCACAGAGGGATAGAGTGCTGCTGCTACTCTATGTGCAGTTATGGGGAAGAAGGGCATTCAGCTCCACTGTGGCCCACAAAGCTTGTTCTGAATTGAGGAAGATGATGGAAATACATCCATAATTAAGAGCAGAAGTTAGGTATCCTTAGGCCAGTACTAGTGAGCTGAGTGTCCTGCCCATTTAATGGCCTTAGCCTAGCCTGTGCTAAGGGATTGAGGAATATATAAAGGCTACTTACTGTGCAAGCTGAAACAAAATTTTACTACAGAAAATGAGAAGGAAAAATTTCCTTCCCCTCCTCTCAAAAGTAGAAGAGCAAGTGCTCTTTGCTCGTGGCCAAAAAATTTGTCATCGGCATCCCTCTCCCATGGTTCTTACCTGACCCCTATGACCAGCGGTGAGGTGTAAATTATTTTCACTAATAATGTAAGACTAGTGTACTAATCTTAATCATTTGGGGCTCTTCTTCTTTCTTACATTTTATTGTCTTGCAGGTTCTCACTGTGTGTTCCATACTGGCTTTGAATTTGGGACCTTTCCTGCCTTAGCATCCCAAGTGCTGAGATTATGGGAGTGTGCCACCATATACAACTAATGTTTCTTTATCAGAAAAATGTTCTTTTATTGAAAAACAATGTCAAAGTGCTGTCTTATGAGTTGAGAGGGCTGATTTGTTCAAAAGATTGGCAGGTATAACCTAGACACTTGGTGAGATAATTTGGAACTTTAACTTGGGATGTCTCTCTAACTCTTTATTTTCTTCTAGGTCACCATTACTCCCAGCTCCATGAGGAAGATCTGTACATACTTTCGTAGAAAGTCTCAAGATGACTTCTGTAGTCCTGAACATTCGACTGAATTATAGATTCTAATCAGAAAGCTCGCTGAACTTGGGTCTGCGAAGATGGGCAGAAAGTGACTTTATAAGTCTGGTCTTTAAGAAAATGATCATCTTTTCATTTTGGAAAATAGCAGACCTAGTCAGATGACACTGTGTAGGGTACACCTTCCTGGGGTGGATGCTGTTTCCATTTCATGTGATGGTTTGTCATCTGTAGTCTTTTCTAGCAGTCTGTGATAATGACACCCTGCTCATAGAAGCAGAAAGCAAGGCGTGCCTCTTGTTATCCTAAACTTGTGCATAGTGAAGAGTGTCTGTGAGTCCAGCACAGGACCTGTCTGTGGAGGTTTGTCTGCAGTCTGAAGACATCCTCTTCAGTGAGTGAGCAGGTTCTTATGTGAAATATATAATCTGTTCACTATGCTTTTGTGTGTGTGTTTTTCAATTTGTATAAAATGTGATGCTGACATAAGTGTATTCATTGTTTCCTTGTTAAAACATGGTATCTTGAGTTGAAGTCATGATTGTTTTGAATACAGTGATCAATGTCATCTAATTGGGAAAGTAGGACAAAACAACAGAAAATGGACCATTTCTATGAAAGCTGGAGGTCCAGTGTTTTGCATGTATGGGGTATTTGTTTTGTTTGTTTAAAAAAAAAAAAAAAACAGATGTCTATCACAAACCAGCATCACTCTTGGGGTGGGATAGAGAGTTGTTGAGCACTTTCTTGAGAGAGATGCTTTATAAAATCAGTAATTATACACTGAAACTGGGGCATTTAGATATATTTTTCAGTTCTCTAGGGTTTGTGACTTTTTCCTTTTTATGTCATCAGATTTTTAAGATAATTTCTTACTGGTATTTTTATGACAGCTATTAGCTCTGAACTGAAAGTCCAGAACCAGGGAAAATAAACCTTGATATTTTTAATGTTACAAAAAAAAAAAAACTCTGGCTCTCTAGTATATTGGTAAGCAAAAAGAAAAAAAATAAAAAGGCAACACTTTATCTAGATGGTTAGTGCAGAGGATGTGTCAGCTAACTAAATAGTATTCAAAGTGCTTTAACTTTTCTTTTCCTTAAATGCTACGTGTTATGGCAGTTCTCATGAAATGAGTGTCATTATAGCCTCCTTGGAAGCCTCTTGGAAAGAAACCTTATGTTCTGGGAAGGTGTATCCTTACAGTTAGTTAGGAAAGAGTTTTTCAAATCCCTGAGGGCTGGTTAAACGTTATTTTTGTGATTTTTAAATCTTTTATTGAAAGCTTTAATTCCTTTGAGGTTGTAAATTAAGCTTATACAACAAGCAGGACTGGATAAGGAATAAGCATTGGTTTTCTCTGCAGGTTGCAATCAAAAGCACACATATCGAAGCTTAAGCTGAGTATTGAGGAATCCGCAGTGGTATTTGCTTGTTGACTATTAGGCAGTAGGAGGGTATTTTTAATGGTACATACCTTCCAATAATGTTTAATGCCTCTTGCTCTGAGAGCCAGTGGTGGTAGTCAGTTAAACAGGTGATTTGTGGCCGTATCTGGCAGTACTGTGTAGTGAAGCCAGGGTAAGTGGCTGTCAGAAATTGCAGGCTCTGTTTGGGAAACTAGTGCCACAGTGGGTGTCAAAGGTCACGTGTAACAGAGTGATTATCCCTGCCTTATTTAGTGTCAGACTTTGAGCTGAGTCTGAATAATTAGCCCTTTATCTTGTCTGGTGTCCTTTCCCAAGCTTTTTACACTGACCTAGAAGCAATCTACACAAAAAGGAGTGGTAATCTAGAGTACCTTTTGCTTGTTTATGGAGTAAAATGTTTGTTTACAAAGGCAATCCAAGCTGCAAGAGGTTCTAATAAATGTCTTCCTCAGACTTTGGATGTTTAAGGTGTATTGGGTTACTTGATTTCTGTTTTGAGTAAGAATGGCCCCCATGGTCTCTTGTTTGAATGCTTGGTCCCCAGGGAGTAGAACTGTTTGAAAGGACTAGGAGGTGTGGCCTTTCTGGGGGAAATGTGTTACTGGACCTGTGTGTCTCCCTGCCTTCCCCCTTGGCCTGTGGATCACAATGTAGAGCCCTTCAGCTACTGCTCCAGCTCTGTGTATACTTTTAAGCTTCCTGCCATGATGGTAATAGACCAAGCCTCTGAAACTTGTAAGCAAGCCCCCAGTTAACACTTGCCTTGGTCATGGTGCCTCTTCACAGCAATAGAACAGTGACTACAGCATTTAGTAAAGAAGCATGGGTAAAGTAGTTAGTTCTTTGTCTAAATAAGCATTTTCATCCCAAATTTTTCCATTTGGATATATTCCAAGCAGTGTGGTTATGTTGATAATAGTTTCTTTTGACTTTTTTTGTTTTGTTTTGTTTTTGAAGACAGGCTCTCTCTCTCTCTCTAGCCTTATCTGTCTGTCCTGGAACTCACACTGTATAGACCAGACTGGCCTGGAACTCAAGAGATGCACCTGCCTCTGGCTTCTAAGTGCTGGAATTAAAGGTGTGTGCCACCACCTCCCAGTTTCTTTTGTGGTAGTTGTTATAATCCAGGCAAATCTGGCCCTGATCCCTTGGGGACCTGGCACAAATGTCGGACAGTACCCTGAGGTCTGTATACAGGTGTAAAGGTCCTTTTATGAGACAAGTTCCGCCTACTTCCTCTCTTTTCTTACTGCCATTTTTCTGAGGAACCAATGTTCTCTCTCTCCTCTTTTCCATTCCTTTACTCCCCTAGCTCCCCTCAATAAACTTTCCACGTAAGTTTTGTCTGTAGGTCTTTCTCACCTGCCACGGGATCTGCCAAAGGTCCCACCTGGCACCACATATCATAACAGTAGTTGAATAATTAATGTGGACTGCACATATTATTGATAACAAATTGTGGCAGCCTTGTGTTGAGAAGGGTGCCGGCCCATGACTTTTTTCCCCCCTATTCCTTATCAAAACTGCACTAAGACTTTGAGGATATTGAAGATAGGTATATTTACTGAGTGAGTGAGTGTGTGGCTTCATACTTAGACACATGCTCTAGTAGCATGTGTATGGGGGCAATGAGGTGGCTCGCTGAGTCCATCTCTAAGACCCTCCTGGTGAAATGAGAACTGATCCTCATGTGTATTCTCAACACACTTTTTTCCTTAAGAAAAAAGATAGTAGCCTGTGACCATATTCTTAAATAGATCACATATCTGGTCAACGTGTTTGTTGAGAGCTTACAATACACTGGTGGGTGCTCTTGGCTGTTTTTGTGCTTCCCCCTAGTCCTTTCGAACTGCTCACAAAGCAAAGGCCAAGTAGTCTCACAGAACCAGCTCACAAGTAGAAAGTGGAAATAACATCTCACCATGAGTATGGGGAGGGGCCACTGATAATGAACTAGGAAAACTCTTGATGGGCTTGCCCTTTAGATACTGGTTAAATGTTATAGGCAGGCTGAACACATTTTGTTGAACTTGAAGTGAATGTGATGTTTGACTAATGTTGATGCCAAGTCTAGGATAGCCATTTTGTTGTCTGAAATTATAGAAAACCTTATTTTTATGTGGGACAATATTTGAATGTGCATGCTAGTGTAGCGGTTACTAAAGAATGCTGGGGGATAAACTTCAATCTTGAAAAAAATTACTTGGCTGGAAGGAGGATTAAGTGAATTAAGTGCTTCAAGCATAAGGACCAGAGTTCAGATCCCCAGAACACACACAATTGCTGGGTTGTTGGCAAATGTGAGCTGGATGTGGCATTCCTGTAGCAATCCAAATCTAGGAAGGCTGAGACAGGATCCCTAGAGCAATCTAGCTAGTTAGGCTGGTCTAATGGAAAAGCTGTGGGTTCAGTGAAGAGATCCTGCCTCAAAGAATGAGGTAGAGAATGATTGAGGAAGATTACTGATGTCACCCGTGTACTTCTATACATACATGTGCATGCACACATAGGAAAATGTATACATGTATACCCTCTACATACATAGACATGCTAAAAGGAAAATTAGCAGCATATTGTGCTCTGAGTGTACTTGTAGCAGGCATCAATACAACCAAGGACACTATTATAAGTAGAGAGGCTTGCTTAATTTCAAAGCTAAGCCAGGAAAGAATTTCAAGGATACAGAAATGTTCCATTTGTATCCATTTCTGTTTGATTTCTCTAACTTGCCACATGTCCTTTTCTCTTTTCACATTGTAAATTTGTAATCAAACCAATTTTGTGGACTAAGTAGCAATGGCTTATTACAAAATGCCTTGATTGGAAGGCTTTCCACTTCACCTGCCCTTATTCATCACCTGGGTACAAGTCCTGTGTGTGACACCTGGTTTTATCTCTCCCTTACTGCCTCCTCCAAAATGCACAAACACAATTTTCCAAGGATTATTTGAAGTTCTCATTCTTCCTTATTCTCTGCATTGCTCGGCATTGAAGGATTCAGTGCCTTGTACTTGCCACTGAGCTACACCTCCAGCACTTATAAGAATTACTGAACAGCAACGTAATAGGATTTGTAATAGCTTACAAGCACTTCAGGTACTGAAAACCAGTGAGGGCCTTGGTATGCCTTGGATGTGTCCAGTGGGAATTAGTGCTTCCAAGAAAGCCTTTGATTTACAGACTTACATTTGTGTTCCCTTAGGCAGCAGGAGCCTCAGTTGCAGGCTCTGCTTCCCTCCAGGCAGCCAATTTAGGAATGACATTCCTGTATGATTGTAATTTGCTTGCTCACCCTCGTTGTCCTCTTTGGATAAAAAGCTAGGAGCTTGCTAGTTGGTGCACACCTTAACCCCAGCACTCAGGAGCCAGAGGCAGGCCAATCTCCTGAGTTCTAGGCCAGCCTGGTCTACAAAGTAAATTCCAGAACAGCTAGAGCTAGCTGTTACACAGAGAAACCCTATCATGTTAAAAAAAAAAAAAAAAAAAAAAAGAGTGGGGGTGTTTTGGCGAGATGGCTTAGTGCTCTATCAGAGGACCTGGGTTCAATTCCCAACACCCACATAGCAGCTCACAACTCTGTAACTCCCATTGCAAGGGATTCAGCATCATCACACAGGCATACATGCAGGCAGGACATCAATGCACTTAGAAAATGTGGAGGAAGCCAGTCGTTGATGGCACATGCCTTTATTCCCAGCACTAGCTAGGGAGGCAGAGGCAGGCAGATCTCTATGAGTTCGAGGCCAGCCTGGTGTACAGAGTGAGTTCCAGGACAGGCTCCAAAACAATACAGAGAAACCCTGTCTTGCAAAACAAAACAAAAATGTTTGGGGAAAGAGCTAGGAGCCTAGGAAATTTGATGCCTATTATCATTCTCCTGAGTGTCACAGAAGCCAAGGGCCAAAGCCAAGAGGAACTAGTTTCAGGACAGCGTTGGTACTGGAGTATCAAATGAGATGAAATTATCCGAGGAGGCTTTGCTCTCTTGACCTTAGTAGTGACCTTACTCC